CAACCTCCTTTATCTTTTTTAAAGCAAATTTAGGTAGACTTTTTTTCTGTCCGTGGTATATTCATGAAACGCTCCTTTTCTAAAGTTTCATCAGAGAACAGTTTTAAGCAACTTAGTATTTAAGCAAAATATTTGAGAACTTTTAAGCAAATATTTGATCATGAAATCGTCAACTTCCAGTTTGTGTGCTCTCCACAATTAAAATATTCTGTATTGGCATTCTACACACTCTAGCGGGAAATAAAGCTGTAGCCAGACTTTGTTAAACAAAATCAGTTTGTAAATCCGACTTCAAGTCTGCTAAAGAAGTTTTACATTGTCTATCCTTGGGCACAAAGAATCAAGTGTATCAGTATTTAGTGGTGAGAGCATAGAACTTGCTGGAGAGCGGAGGAAGGGAAAGATTGTGTAAGTTCACAAATCCAGTAAATGTCAGGAGCCTTGAAGCACTCAAGGAAATATTTCAAATATACTCAAGAGAGCACCAAGTTTACAAAGAAAGATGTCTTCCTGTGGGAATCTTTTCCCTTTCTCATGGCTTCCTTACCTATTGAAAAATATTTATTTGAGACACGGAGTGCTGGCAGTTCACTGTTTCTTTTATGATTCCTACTTAGGAGGCTGTGGTGAAGGTTCTGTGCACATCTCCTGATTCTTGCATTTGATGAATATAGCATCTTGGAACATTCCCATGCCTGAAACTTTCATTTAAGGGGATAGTTGAAATGTGTATCACATGATGTAAAGGGGTTCAAATTTTACAAATTTCCTGAGGCCACAAACCTCCTCTTGGCAGTCCTGATGACCTTAAGGTAGTCATACATTTTAAGATAAACTTTCAAAGTATTGGGTGTGTGTTAGTCAGACAACAATCCTTGAACTATGCTTGGAAAATTAAGATAATTATTCTTTTGTTATCCGCTATAGAGGCCCATTAATGCTTTTATTAATTTACAGAATATCCATTGCAAGGCTCTACCTTTGTGATAAGCTTAGTAGTCAGCAGTGGAGTGTGGTTATAAATATATTACTGGTGAATATCTTACTTTGTATTAGATCTCATGAACTTTACAACAAATCATACTGCAAACCACTATCTCCAGTCCATAGGTAAAACATTGTAACATTAATTTTTATAAAAAGCACTATTAATCCTGATCATCAGTGTTTTAACAGAACTAGTGCAGAAGGCATCTGTTGGTATTTTTTCATTATACTGATAATTCTTTATTCCAATTATTATGTCATATGACTAATTTCCCTTACATTTCTGTGGTATCCTTCATTGAAGATTAGCCAATATAGTTGGCAGAAAACAATGAATAAGATGATATTAAATGGAACTCTGCATGCCGTGCTGAATTTTCCTTTCTTTGTACAGCATCTGAACCCAACCTGAAGTTACGATCCAGATTAAAGCAGAAAGTTGCTGAAAGACGGAGCAGTCCCCTGTTACGCAGGAAAGATGGCCCAGTGGTTACTGCTCTTAAGAAGCGTCCCCTGGATGTCACAGGTATGTTGGGTAAGCAACTGAAAGCCATGCCTCTTGTCGCATTCTATATAAGGCTCCCATCTTAAAACCTGTTTATATATCGGATTAACTCTTTAGTCAGGATTTCTGTACTCCCTTTAGCACCCTTAACTCTTTAGTCCTTGGACATTCATCAGTGAAGGTATTGTTTCCAAGTCCACAGCCTCTGTTTCACAGCTCTAGTTTTTAAGCTTGTGTTAATCAGATATAGGTGCCAGTGTAGTATTTCAAAATGGTAGAAATTACAGGTTGTTGGAAAATACCTTTGAAATGTTTCATGCTGTATCTCTACTAATTTCACAGATCCAGTTGCTAAGCATAATTCATAACTGTACCACTCCAACAATAAATGCTTTTGATGCCATGTTCTTTATGGGCCTCATGCGGACCTCCATTGTTCTTCATCAAACACTTTAAAATTAGACTGTCAAGCAATTAAAAAAACACTAGAATACCATTTATTTTTAATATTTTTGGATGTTTACTACATTTCAAATATATTAATTTCAGTTACAACACAGAATACAAAGTATAAAGTGCTCGCTTTATATTTATTTTTGATAACAAATATTTGCACAGTAAACAAAAAAAAATATTTTTCAATTCACCTCATACAAGTACTGTAGTGCAATCTCTTTATCATAAAAGTTGAACTTACAAATGTAGAATTATGTACAAAAAACTGCATTCAAAAATAAAACAATGTAAAACTTTAGAGCCTACAAGTCCACTCAGTCCTACTCCTTGGTCAGCCAGTCACTCAGACAAACAAGGTAGGTTACAATTTGTAGGAGATAATGCTTCCTGCTTCTTATTTACAATGTCACCTGAAAGTGAGAACAGGCGTTTGCATGGCACTGTTGTAACCGGCGTCACAAGATATTTACGTGCCAGATGTACTAAAGATTCATATGTCCCTTCATGCTTCAACCACCATTCCAGAGGACGTGCTTCCACGCGGATGATGGGTTCTGCTTGATAACGATCCAGAGCAGTGCGGACCGACGCATTTTCATTTTCATCATCTGAGTCAGATGCCACCAGCAGAAGGTTGATTTTTCTTTTTTGGTGGTTTGGGTTCTGTAGTTTCCGCATCAGAGTGTTGCTCTTTTATGACTTCTAAAAGCATGCTCCACACCTCGTCCCTTTCAGATTTTGGAAGGCACTTCAGATTCTTAAAGCTTGGCTCGAGTGCTGTACCTATTTTTAGAAATCCCACATCAGTACCTTCTTTGCATTTTGTCAGATCTGCTATGAAAGTGTTCTTAAAACCAATATGTGCTGGGTCATCATCCGAGACTGCTATAACATGAAATATATGGCAGAACGCAGGTAAAACAGAGCAGGAGACATACATTTCTCCCTTCAAGGAGTACAGCCACAAATTTAATTGACGCATTTTTTTTTAACGGGCATCATCAGCATGGAAGCATGTCTTCTGGCATGGTGACCGAAACATGAAGGGGCATATGAATGTTTACCATATCTGGCATGTAAATACCTTGCAACGCTGGCTACAAAAGTGCCATGTGAACGCCTGTTCTCACTTTCAGGTGACATTGTAAATAAGAAGCAGGCAGCAGTATCTCCCATCAAAGTAAACAAACGTGTTTGTCTTAGCGATTAGCAGAATAAGAAATAGGACTGAGTGGACTTGTAGGCTCTAAAGTTTTATGCTGTTTTATTTTTGAGTGCAGTTATATAACAAAAAAAATCTGCATTTGTAAGTTACACTTTCATGATAAAGAAATCGCACTTCAGTACTTTTATGAGGTGAATTGAAAAATACTGTTTGTTTAGCTTATCATTTTTACAGTGCATATATTTATAATAAAAAATAATATAAAGTGAGCGCTGTACACTTCGTATTCTGTGTTGTAATTTAAATCAATATTGAAAATGTAGAAAAACATCTAAAATATTTAATACATTTCCATTGGTATTCTATTGCTATAAGTGTGATTAATCATGATTAATTATTTTGAGTTAATCACATGAGTTAACTGCGATTAATTGACAGCCCTACTTTAACTGTAAAAACACGTTATGTGTTGTTTTACCATAGATGATATATACTTATTTCACAACTTCTTGCAAAAAGTAATCCATATTTCTTTTTTGGATAAATTTCATATTAGGAGGTAAACTAGGTAAGACTCGAGATATCATGAAGTTTAATATTTAGCACCATCTAGAGAGAGCTGTCTGTAAGTACATTTAGACAACCGCTGTTTTTGCTTTTCTCAGCCCTCCCTGGCACTTCAGAGTACAATGTCATAATTTATGCAACTTAAAATTCAGCTCTGCTCTGAAAAGTGACTCTGTAGAAATGGCATCATGGGTTCCATGAGTGTATGTGTGGGTGTGTGATCGCCTTACCAAATGTTCTTGGTTTACAAGGCAGGAGATGCTTTTTCTAGCCAGCAGCCCTGCAGACTCCACAACAGAGCTGAGAGGCAAGCTTATTTCTTTCCTTCTCATGTTACTGCCTGTTACAAAGGTTCTGCAGGCTAAGTTAGGGCCTTTGTAACACTTGTGCAACCTCATTGTTTTCACATGGTGACCTCTGTGACACCTGTGCACACCCATCTTTGCTGGGTGTCTACAGATGTAACTGACTGGAACTAAGTTTAATAAAATAGATTCCTGCTTATGCTCTTAGCTGCGTGGGCTCTTGCTGCAGTAATAGGAATGAAAAGCATGAACATTTTATTTTGGTCATTACAGTCAGCGGGTCAGACTCTAGGTAAATACAGAGTACGTGTGTTGAGTTGAAAATGCCATTTTTACAGCCACTTTTCAGAGGAAAATTGTACTTTTAATCCATCGAGAATACTCCTGGATGAAATTAAGGCTTGAATGTATCACAAAGATAAATTGAATGCCACATTTTTCTTTTGTTTAGGTAATACACAGGGAATCCAATAAATCATAGCTCATGACCTGTTAGTTACAGAAGTGCATGTATTTTCTGTCCAACCAAAATGTTCTTTTTACAGTGTCTAGGTTTTCATTAAGCGCCACAGGTGCCCATTGTGGAGAAAGTTGAAGGGTAGTAGTGAAACTTCAGGTTAATTGGGTTTTCTTCACTCAAAATACTGCTGCTTAGTGCTCACTTAATTGGACAGAGGAAGACCAACCCTGGCAGCAGGAGGCAAGGCATAAGAAAGAGTAATGAGGCTGTTTTTACAGAGTCGCCTTTTTCCCCAAAAAATTACGTTCTAAAGGTATGAAGGCCTGCTTAACATACTGCTTTATTCATTAATGTAATGGGGTGCTACAGAGGTCTCACAACCTCAGAAAGTAATTTTATTTCGAAGCACAAAGTGATGTTGGGGGGGGAAAAAAGGATTTTCTGCCTCAGTGCTCATATTGCTGAGTGTCTGCACTTCTGTAAGCTGGGGTGATGGTCACATGTCTAATTAAGGAGGAACCACATCCTTGATCAGCATTTTAAAAAGAAGTATTTGGTTAATTTCTTCTCAAGCTCTTCTACAGTACTTTGGAAGAGCTTTTCTCCACGTCCAGTGTCATCAGTGAACTAAATGAGCATGCATCTTGGTAATATCATCGTTCTCATAACTTTGCAGTAGAATAGAAAATGCATTGCTATTTTGGGCAAGTCCATGGGTGAAAAGAATTTCCTTTTGCTTGTAGGTTAACTTCATATAGGAAGGAATAGTGCTGAGTACTAACTTTTGCTTACAATGTCAGGAATAAGGATTTGGGCAGGGGAAAAAGGTTCTCCCATTTGTTCAGTAAGCATGCTCATACATGTATGCATGCTCAAATAAGTCCTGTTGTTGGCTTCTCACTCTTTACAAGTGTATTGGGAAGCATGACTTGAGAATTCATAGTATTGTTTGGAAGGTATGGAGAAGGTAGGTGCTGAAGCTCAGAGACGGTTCCATAGTTTCATGGCTGGGACATGTGGTAGCAATGGATGTCGATTCACTAGAGCCTATAGAGTCACATAGGTAAAATGAATAGTGCTTGGAATCAGATTAGTAGCAGATTTATAGAAAGAAGCTACCTTTGAATATGCGACGTGTAATCATTACTAGGTGGACAGTCAATTTTAGATTGTTACTTAATCCTTAAATTTCTCTTGATTATAGAGGACCGTAAAATCTACTTCTACCATAATATGTGCTGAATTACTCCACTAACCAGGTTAAGGGGGTTTCAGCAATTAAATAACTAAAACAAAAATTGTATCGTGTCCCCAAAGTCATACCAGTTGGCTCCATGTCCACTGAGACATCCCAGTGAAATGTCCCAGATTGCATCAGGCTGTTATATCACAACTACCAGAAAATTATATTGGGGTCAGCCAAATCCTGTTTTCTCATATTTGGAATGTCTGTCAAAAGATTGCAGTGATTTTTGCTTTCTAAGTAGTCTTGGAAGACTTATATTGCTATTGGTAAATGTTGGTAAACATTGATTTCACTGTGCAACCACAAACTGACAAAAATATTTCCGGGGCTGACAGTCAAAATTTACAGATAGGCAAAGTAAGAAAAATGCTGCCGGAGAACTTATTAGAGTTTGATTTTAAGGATATTTAATTTGTATAGTTTGACAATTTTAACAGTTATAAAGCTTTAACTTTTTGAATCTCAATGGCTGCTCTCATTTAATTATAGTCTACTTCCTTTCCCCCTGCCCAGATAATTACCTGTGAAAATTTACATGGATAAAAACGCTTAAAAATGACATCTATATTATGTGTCAAAATTATTTTTAAAAAATGGAATTCTGCCAAGCATACTTCTGAGATAATAAAAAGAGAAACACTGAAAACTGTGCTATATGCAAAATAAGAGAGGCTCCTATGGGCCAACTCCATGCTCCAGAAGAATTTCTGGTAGCCGTGAAATCAGTTAATCTGCAATGCTGCACAGGAGCTGGGAAATGCAGCTTTCTAGTCTGTTAAAAACGTTTTGGGTTCAGTCGGATGTCTCACTTGCCCTGGTTAGTGGGGTGTTAAGAACATAGCGGTAACATACGTGAAGTTGTGGCATTTTGTTGTTCATATAATAAGGGTGTATAGCAATAGAATTATAAAGTGAAGTTTTACTTTAAGTACAAAATACTCGTGGTTGTGTTTTGATAAGTTGTACACGCTCCACACTGGACCAGTGCAGGGAGGGGTCAATGGACTGCCCTGGAGACAGTGACTTGTATCTGTCCTATCCTGCCATGCCTGTCAGAAGTAACAAGTTGTGGGTAATTAGGAAGGAGTAATCATATAAAGTGGGTGAGGAAGGTGTCAAAGGCAGTTGCCCTGACCAAGGGAACACCCATCCCTAGAGGCTTATAGTGCTAGACCTGTAGGCCTGACACAAGCTCTGCAAGTGAGACAGTGGAAAGGGAAAGCTCAATCAGTACTTAGTGAGTGGCCAAAACAGACTAGGATTCCCTAGGGACAAACTCTGTGTGGGTTTTTGTTACCTCTGAGAGACTTTGACCACTATCTACATGGAGGACTTTCAGTGTAATATCTGGGAACTTTGCACGTTTTCATGAATATAGAGCAGGGGTCAGCAACCTTTCAGAAGTGCTGGGCCGAGTCTTCATTTATTCACTCTGATTTAAGGTTTTGTGTGCCAGTGATACATTTTAATGTTTTTAGAAGGTCTCTTTCTAGAAGTCTATAATATATATCTAAACTATTGTTGTATGTGAAGTAAATAACATTTTTAAAATGTTTAAGAAGCTTCATTTAAAATTAAATTAAAATGCAGAGCCCCCCCAGACCTGTGGCCAGGACCCCGGCAATCTGAGTGCCACTGAAAATCAGCTCGCTTGCCGCCTTCAGCACGTGTGCCATAGGTTGCCTACCCCTGAGATGGAGAGTTGGCCAGCTAGTGCTGCAAGACAATAAGTGTAAAGAGACTGATGTCTGGAGATACTCAAAACAACTCTTATGAGATTGCCTTTTATTTTCTCAATTATCCTCCCATTTTTCTGTCCTGATATGAAGGCAGCACATGGAGACATCTACCAGTAATTCAGGGGCAAATAAATGTATACTTGAAAGTCAGACTTCATCCTCTGTGTTCATTGCTTCCTCACTTGGAAGCCTGGAGACCTGCTCACACTCTTCTGATTTCAGTCCTTTCCTAGTGCTTCCATGTTGGGAATCGAAAGAAACTAGTACTTGGATTGGAGACTTCCAAGTAAAACACAGGTGCTGTGGGAAGTGGTATTAATTATCTAATTAGTACTGTTTCCTCTAATTCAATATTTGACCAGGGCTCCAGATTGGTGTTAGGGTCCTGTGTGCTACTGAAGCTACAATTCTGTAGATGACAACACCTCAGAGAAATAACTGTTTCTCATAGAATGCTGAGGACACTGTCAGCTCTTAACAAATAACCCCTTACTTTCAATGGGGCACTTTTTGTAAAAGTAAATGTTGGTGCTGGTGTGAAATACCTTCATTACTGACCCTTGACAGCTATCTTTCCATTTAAAACGTGAATAAATTCAGATATACAAGAAGGGTGCATGGGAAAATGTCAAAGCTCAGAAAGTTACTTAATTGTGCAAGACCGAGAGCATGATTAAGATAAAAGGCTAACGTGGATTGGAGGAGGCACTTCATAAAACTGTAGTAGAACAGTTTGACATAGACTGACTTGGCTTGCTCATGCTTTCTAAATTGTTTATTGTGTGTTTAATCATATTTAAAGTTCCTGACACAATATACAAAAAAAGGTTGCAGAGAAAAGATGTAAGTAAGTAAATATTTGGACCCGCTGTTTGAAAGTACATCTTTGTTGATATATTCTCAATCTAGAAATGTTTTATTACATCTTCAGGGTTTTTGTTTTCCCTGATCGATCTCTCCCAATAGCATTGCAGAGATCGTTTATACTGTTTCTAATAGTTGTTTTTGAATGTGTTTTAGACTCTGCATGCAACAGTGCTCCTGGATCTGGTCCCAGTTCTCCAAACAACAGCTCTAATAACATAAGTGCTGAGAATGGAATTACAGGATCAGTCACAAGTATTCAAGCAGAGGTACAGAACTGCTCTTTACCTTGGGCTTAACACTTGTGCTTCCAATGAACTTGTGGAAGCTTTTAAATATGCAGGGAAAGCTGAACCTTGATTAGGATGGCTACTCTCCTAACCAGTGAAGATTTGAATGTGTTGTGTACGTAACATGCTTAGTCTGAGTTTGCTCCTAAATATCTGTGCTTGGGGTAACTGGCAGTAGCCATAATAAGGATTGATAAATTTAAAAAAAGGAAAGGAATGTTGGGGTCAAATCTTGAAGAGGGTTCCGTTCTCAAGTATAGGTTACCAACTCTCTTGAGTATTTTAAGATGTTGGATATTTATTTTCATGCTTTATAATGTGGGATAACTTCACTTTATACAGGGGATTAATACAAGCATTGTTCAATTACAGGGATGGAGGAGTATAATATTACCTGGTTTAAGTTCCTTCTCCCCTGCTCAGTACTCAAAGGCTTCCTGTAGTGTGTTGACGTTTGCCACCAAATTTTAGCATCCTCCCACCTTTATGCACTTTAAATCTTAGCTTTTGTTAATCAGTTATGGAAACAAAAACAAAGGTTATTATTAATAAATACTCCCATAAACTGCAGGGTGTTTGCACCATCCTCTTAAACATCTGGTGTTGGCCACTGCCAGGGACAGGATGCTAGACTAGAGTTGGGTCTGATCTAGTCTGGCAATTCCTGTGTTCCTGTTACTGAATCTGAAAATACGTGACCCACTCTGTCATTTTGTAACCTTCACATTTGGAAAGATGGTGTGTAATTATCCAGACCCTGCTGCTGTATTTCGCATTGCAGGCTTTGCATTTGCTGTTTCCTTTGAATATTATACATGCATTTACATCTATAAACTTTCCTGACAAAGCAGAATTTTGGTTTAATCACGCTGTCCTCCAACTTGTAATTTTGGAGAGTGGAAAGGTGCTTTTTGAAGCAAAAGTCCAGGCTATTTGAGCTTTCTAGGTTTGTACAGATTTTGGCTCAATTAGAGTTTCTAATACTGCATAACACATAATTTTAAAAACCTTCAATCAAAATATATTATGGACCTCATAACACAAAGTCACTATGCAATGCAGCATTGGTCACTTCGCCTGACACAATACACCATGGCTGTTCTAAAGAGAGTGGCTGAGACTCTGGTTTGGGCTTTATAAAGGAACAATAGTTCTATTTCATGTATTTAGTAGGACTCAGGCAGTATGGGGGAGGGTAATTCTAGCATCCACCGTAACAACAGCTTTACTTAGGGTTACATACTGTATGCATTTCCATGACAAAACCCTCGTTTCAGTTGCTCCCGACTTTGTTCAGTGAGATTGCTCTAGTATAACTGACGGAGGATTTGGTCTCCTCCCAATTCTACCAATTCTGTTGATACGTGAACCAGAATAGAATCCAGCTGCCCTTCTCTGTCAGGTTTCACCTCTGATAGCAAAAGTCAGACTCACAAGTATCAGTGGTTGAATCACTGCTGGATTCTGGGCTCATGTGTCCTTGTAGCCCTTTGGCTAGTAGAGGCATACTCTTCACTTGTTCACTCTACACTGCTCCCAGGAGTGAAAGTAATAACAATGACTTGTCACTACAGCCAGTCCTCCTTCCCCTCAGCGTTCTGCTCTCATCGCATCTGGGGTTTAGCAGATTTAATTGGGGACTGTTGAGAGACTCATAACTTCAGCTACAAATATTCAGTGCTGCACAGGAAAGTTTGTACCGTTCCAAAGGGCACAGCTTCCCCAAAATCAGTGTTGTGGGAGGGCTCATCCCATGAGTGTGGATATGCACTCTCTCCAAATAACTTTGCTTTTTACAAATGAATGTATTATTTCACCAAGGCTTTAATTCCAGTCCTTAGTAACTTCTGCACAAAAAATATTTTAGATACACATGCTGTTGTTGCAAGCATTTGATAGCCACTTTCAGTGACTACCTATTGCCTCTTGTAAAGCAGTGAAATCATACTTTTAAGACTGAGTCATGAGTGATGCCGGACATGTAAAGTGTGTCCATTGCCAAAACAGTTCTCCAGACATATGAAAGATACTTGTCTCTTTCCCCACCCCTTTCACAGTTTTACTACAGTGTCTGTTTCATAAAAACATAAGAGCTCCCATACTGGGTCAGGCCATGATCTTTCTTGCCCAGTATCCTGTCTCTGACAGTGGCCTGTACCAGAGCCTCAGGAGGAGTGTAAAGAACAGGGTAATTATGGAGTGATCCACCCTGTCTTACACTCCTGCCTTCTGGCAATCACAAGCTTAGGGTCGTGCTGAGCATAGGGTTGCATCCCTAACCATTTTGGCTAATAGCCATTGATGGATCTATCCTCCATGAATGTACCTAGTTCTTTTTTGAACCCCATTATGCTTTTGTCCTTCACAACATCCCATGGCAATGACTTCCACAGGTTAATTCTATTTTGTGTGAAAAAGTACTTTCTCTTGTTTGCATTAAACCTTCTGACTATTTAATTTCATCAAATGATCCCTGGTTTTTGTATTGTGTAAAAGGTAAATAACACTTTTCTATTCATTTTTTCTACACCTTAGTCCAGGTGCATGTGAGAAGAAGTCCACTGTGATCTATGAATTAATTTAAATTGAAATGCTTTAATGTAGCCTCCCAAAACAACCTATGTGAAAAGTAAAACATTTTCTTCTGCTGTTTTTCTGAAAATTGCACCCAGAATTTTTTCACCTGTTCTATGATTTTATAGAAGAGAGCAAGAATATAGTCTGTAAACTATGGTGTTGTAGGTTTCAGAGTAGCAGCCGTGTTAGTCTGTATCCGCAAAAAGAAGAACAGGAGTACTTGTGGCACCTTAGAGACTAACAAATTTATTAGAGCATAAGCTTTCGTGGACTATGTTCCATTCTATATGCATCCGAAGAAGTGGGCTGTAGTCCACGAAAGCTTATTCTCTAATAAATTTGTTAGTCTCTAAGGTGCCACAAGTACTCCTGTTCTTCTTTTTATGGTGTTGTAGTGATTTTGAAAGTAGGTATGATATGAAGATTCAGTCCACTAGATCTTTGAGGTCACAGTCCACAGGAAACCTCACAACCCACTAATGGATGGCAAATAATTTTTGATAACCTATTGCACTAACTCTCCTGCTGTCAACAGATTTTAGAGTTTATTCTGTTAAATCTTCCTTATCCTCAACACTCCCATCTGCCAAAAACTGGTCATGCCCTTCATTACCAATTCTTTTCTGTAAGCATTGGATATTTCATGATGCCATTTCAGAGCCATTCCTCCAAACTTTTCTGCATGCATTTGTCAGCAGCTATCCAAATACAGTTAATTAAGACAGCATTTTAAATGCAGATATTTCCTTTCAAATGAAGGCTGTTGTATACATCAGGAAATATTATTACCTGATTAGTGCTTGCTTCCACATGTCTTGTAAAAGGTCAATGTAATGCCCACACTGGACTCCAATTTCTGTAATATCCCAAATGATAGACTGTCTCTGGTAAATCAGACCCATTTCCACTTTGTATATTGTAAATAATCAACAATTTCTGAGCAGTTAGTCTTCTCCATTGTGATAGTTTCACATTAACCTGAGTGTTTGATTTTAAATGAGAAATGTGTATATTTGCCCATCAGTTGATCAGAGATTCACCTCTCGACCCATACCAAATGGGAAAACTGATCATTTTTATATTATTTAAATTAAAATACTTGCCTCAAGTGTAGAAAGCATACAGCTCCATTCTGTTCACAGTGGATAAATAGCATTTATTTTTTAAATATTGTGTTAAATTTAACAATGTTTTTCCACCTATGCAAGGCTATTTGACATTCACTGACATTTTATTTCATATACAGCTATAAAAGGTGCTGCCTGATTAGACAAAAACTGTAGATGCTGGGTTTGTGCTCTTCTCTGCATTTCCACAGCATTTATGTACAATTCATAGACAGATTCAGTATATTTAAGATGATGATAATGGAACTGAAATTTTGTGTGCGCAATTAGTTTCAAGCTGTTGTGTTTTTTCATTCAGTTGTGCTTAATACAAATAAACCCCCTGAGACTATTTGAGGCACAACTAAATGGGGATTTGACTGTTTAAAGTGGAAATTGATGTAATTTTGTTACTTTTATAAGATCAGTACCCCGTAAAAGTCAGGAAAAGATTTCAGTACCTCACCTACAGTACATACCTTATTTTCAGCATGTGGTGCAGTAACATACATTATGTTTACGCTTTAAAGCAACATTGCTAAAGAAGTGTTCAAAATCACCCTGGCAAATAAGTGAATGGAAACACAAACAAGTTCTTTACCATTTTACCTTGGTGTTAGTGTGTGTGCCAGTGGAAATATTTAACAACTACAGAGAAATCAGCGATGACAAGACCTTTGTGATAGAACAGGTTTTTAATAATTATGGTTGACAAGATTGCAAATACACAGGAGGAGACTTTAGAAATGGAAAGAACCTCACTGGCAAATTGAACTTAGCTTGAGCATATATGAGAACTAGATGACTTTACTACTCTATCATGTGAATAAATGGTAGGACAGTAAAGGGAACGAATAACTGACTAATGTCAAATTAAACCATTTATTTGGAAATGCAGAGTCTTTGGCTGTAAAGATGGCAAATGCAATCTTGTAAAGGTATCATTGCTACACTTGTCTATGATCCTCTCTCACAGGAATAGCTTTAATGTTACTGTATTCAGCAATTCCAGTTTCGCTCTTCATTTTTCTTTAGTGAATATTTGTATATAGAAGACTTGCTTTTCAATAGTAAATGTTAAGCACGTGCTCTTCCCTTTGTGGATTGCAACAGCATTGCTTTATCTTGCAAAATTCAGTGTGAGTTTCTTCAATGGAGTTCAAAGATAACTAGCTTTCTTTTCATCATCCAAAATTGGCCTAATCCTGCACCCTTTGAAGTCAACTGCAAGTTCCAATTGACTTTGGTGCTATAGAATCAGGCATAATATGAGGTAACAACCTCTAACACTCCATAAGATTAAAATCCCTTCATGGCCATGCTGACATGTATCGATCTATAGAATGATGAAATACTATTGTACCCATTATATACCCATTTTTCTAAGCATCAGAGTTAAAAACTGTCACTGCATGAGAAATGTTATAGAAAATGTCTTTTTTTATTTTTGTTTAAACTCCCAGGATTGAAAACAATGTCCACTCCATAATTCAGTACAATCAAAATAAACTATTTTCTAATCAGGGCTTCAGACACTTTTCAATAACTACAGTTAATATTTGCAATAAATATTTGAGTCCATATTTGTAAGCAATCACTGCTGTGAAATTAAAAATGACTTTTACACTTCCGTGGTGCCACATTAGCTGGCTATAACGTAATCCTCCCAGTTAATTTCACATACCTTCCCTGAAAATCAAGAAATATCCAGCTAAGAGGAATATCCAGGCTCTTTAATGGAGCTTTACCTTGTTTTTAAGCAACAACTTGATGGTGACTAATGCATTTCATACTGTCTTTGGCCTGGTGACGAGAACATCCATCCTGTGTAATGTAAAATTTGTTTGTTAAAACCACCTTTTTTAGCCATGTACTTTAAGGGACGAATGAACCATGGAGGCTTTCTTCATAGACCAACCATTACCGTTACTCTCTTCATAGCTCTGTTACCTTTGTGGGAGGATTACACATCCACAAGTGAATCCACCCAGTGCCTATCCCATCTACTTGGACTGGGTACTGGGCACAGATTAGCCCCTACATTCGGAATCTTTTGGTATCAGAAGTGAAGTTATTTGCCTTTTATTTTTCTTTCTCATTCCTTTTTCTTGTGTGCTTTATACTCAAGATGATTCATGAATTAGGCAGACTATAAATGTAGCTCCTGTCTATTCTCTTTACATTATCTGATTGTCACAGTTTTCTTAATTCAATTTTCAGACCAGCCTGGCTCACAGACTAGCAAATCGTGAAGGCTCAGTAACACAGCTTCCTCTCTACACATCTCCTTCCTTGCCCAACATAACGTTAGGACTGCCTGCAACTGGACCCGCCAGTGTAAGTGATGTTTAATGTTGTCTTTGGGATTGTGGTTGCATTGACTCATTCATAAGCTGAATACTTTACCAGTTGTATATTTGCAGGGGGGATCAGGACAGCAGGATGCCGAGAGACTTGCTATTCCAACCCTACAACAGCGGCTTTCCTTATTTCCTGGCACCCATCTCACTCCTTACTTGAGCTCTACGACTTTGGAAAGGGATGGGGGAACTTCACACAACTCTCTTCTGCAGCACATGGTCTTACTGGAACAACCAACTGCACAAACTCCCTTAGTCACAGGTGAGCATACCAAAGCTTGTGTGCAAAGGCTAAGATATGCAGCTCCTAACTGGGAGAGTGGTACAATCCATTTCAATTTCATGAAAGGAATAAGGGAATACCAGTTATCTCTGAAATCATATATGTTTATGACATGGAGCATGTATTGTTGATGTCATGGGCACCTACAACGTTGGAAAAGGCTGTGATTGACCACATTACACATCTGTAAAAGGTGGGAGGAGGCTAACACCATTTATCATTTTGGCAGGATTAAGATAAACTAGTTTATAAATATCATTGTAAATATAAATCTATTAGTATTTTAATAGTAGAACCTTACCCAGTTTGATCAAAGGAACAGTGAGAAGGTATTTTCTTAGGGAATTTTTTTTTTTAATTTATTGTGTTTAGTATTTACAATTACTGCATAGCTGCAGTCCTTTTTACAAAACCAAAAGCAGGTGTTTTCATTTTAAAATGTAATATGAAAAGCACAGTCTGTCTAATAATAATTCTTCTTCGAGAGGTGTTGTTCATGTCCATTCCAATCAGGTGTGTGCATGTGCACAGTGGCCAGAAGATTTTCCCCCTAGCAGCATCCGTCGGGTCGGCCTGGGCGCCCCCTAGGTCGTCCCTTCATGGCGCTCAATATAGAGCCCTGCCGATCCGCCACCCCCTCAGTTCCTTCTTACCGCCAGTGATGGTTGGCTGGAACTTCCCATAGCCCTTGCTTAGCAAGCGCGTTCTATAGTTACCTGTATATAATCACCTTAGTATCCGTTACTAGTATTAGAGTTCTTAGTATAGAGTTGTTGGGGGTTTCCCCCCATTCCGCCTCCCTGGGTTTTAAAAACTGTGTGGCCTGCGCGAAGCGCAAACCAAGCAGCGATCCACACTCCTCGTGTTTACGGTGCCTAGGGGAGGATCACCAAAATGATGGCTGTAAGATCTGCCATGAGTTCCGCCCTAGAACTCTTAAAGAAAGGGAAGAGCGTCTTAAGGCGATCCTCATGGAGACAGCTCTATGCCCCAACTCCGACCTGGGCTCAGTAGACCCAGCTCCTAATGCGTCGTCTTCGATGCAGAGTGCCTCGGCACTGTTGTCAAGCTCCGCACCGAGAAAGGACTCGTCCCGGGATGCTCGGCACCGACATAACACCTCACAAGGCCTGGTTGAGAGCAGGCACCGATCCCACTCACTGGTGCCTCAGAAGAAAAAGAAGCCAGACAGTCACTCACCTCCAGCTAAATCCAGAGAAGTGAGACTCCAGGCAGGCCACAGCTCCGGATCCCCTACTGGGGCCGCGTCCACCCCTGCCCAGGCGAGGCAGTTGAGTCCGGGGCCCCCACAGTCGCCGGTCCCTACACAGCAGCTCCAGCTCCCGTCGACGTTGAAGGCTTATCAAGCCGCCCGGGACCTCCTGCAGCTTACAGCACCGTTTTCGCCCCCAAGGAGGGAAGAACCTCCGGTGCCAGTGGACCCACCTCACTCCCCGGAGCAGTCAAGAGGGAAGCCAGCTATGATGTCCAAGCTCTCCCCCTCTCCATGTCCCTCAGCACTGGCCCACTCAGACACAGAGCCTACCTGCTCCTCGAGCTCTCGACTCTTGAGGTACCGAGGCTTGGCACCTCTGTGGTCTTCAGTCTCGGAGTCAGAGTCCGACTCCTATCGCTCCAGGAGAAGTAGGAGCTGTAGATCGAGGTCTGGGAGAGACAGGAGGGAGCCCCAGGCATGGCCTCCGCAGTGGCAGAATCCACCACAGTGGCCCTTCTGGGCCCCCTGGGCCTTTCACCAAGGCCAGGGAGGGACCCAATGTCACCGTTCCACGGTGTCTTCTGTAGCCTCAGCCACCTTCATCCCACCATTAGCTACGCAGCTTCCCTCGGCGCCTGCCCACACATCAACGCCTCTGACAGCGGTACCAGATTCGGCACCAACCTCAGCACTGCTGACGCACCAGATTTCCATGCCAGCACCATTGTCAAAGTTAACTATGGCGCAGGCACCGATGATGGCGACGGGCCCACCGTCTTTGTCAGCGCAGACAAGGGGATCGGCACCGACTCCATCGACGGTTCCTCCCATCATACTGTTGGCGGCGCCAACACTGGGTTCGGCGTCTGCAGCCCCGGCACCATCGAGTGCACCATTGGCACCGACGCGATATATTGATCCCTGAACGCGCACCCGTCGACTCCAGAACTCCACCAGGGCGAGCAGCGGTAGCGGAGTCGACGGGGGAGCCGCGGCCGACGATCCCGCGCTGTGAGGACGGGAGGTAAGTCGAAATAAGATACGTCGACTTCAGCTATGCTATTCCCGTAGCTGAAGTTGCGTATCTTACCTCGACACCCCGCCCCCACCCCGCAGTGTAGACCAGCCGAGTGATTTGCCTAATGCTTCGGAGGGAATCAATTTAATGAGATTTAGTAATGTATACATGTTTTATGAAGCTTAATGTACTTTTTTATGATTATCAACATCGGAACACAGAATTCTAAATTAGAATGTACTGTTGCTATATTGGTATGTCCTTGATATTCTACCCGTGTAGAACAAACAGGTGATTTCCTATTTTGGCGTTAATGTTTTCTCCTTTTCCGCATATCCTTTCCCCAGCCCCTTCTCTGTCTTGAGCAGCTCAGCAGGAGGTTTTGGTTCTAAGTGCTTGGCAATTCTTTTTCCCAGGCAGGTGTGTCGATTGTAACAATGGGCCTTCAATAGACCTTGCTGCTCTTGGGGCAGGCTGAGCTGTTTCCACTGATCAGCTGTCCAATCTGTTCAGTTCCCAGAATTCTGCAGGAGATAGGACACCATCTGCTACAGAGTAGGAGGAAAGGGAACCCTCTCATTTCTCCCTCCAGAGTTCCTTAACTTTGCTGCAGTTTGGACTCAAGGCATTTTTAATCAATTGGCTCCAATTTTTGCTGGATTTTAGTTTTGTTCAGTTTTTCTGAAGTGCTGCTATGACTCTCTTCTTTGCTGGTGGCCTGACCACCATTCAAAAATGACCCATCATCTTGGCTAGAAGAAAAGTCTGTCCTGTGCTCTACCAGAGTATAACAAAATAAATTGTTCCCCTTTGGAACTGGGGGAAAGTCTCCAATGTGGTGGACAGGGTTTTCTTTGAAGCTGTTAGATCTCCCCCCTTCTCCCAGCCACTCCCTTCCTCTCCCCTCCACAGCAACAAAGAGGTCACCAAAGATCACAGCATTCCTTCTCAGCCATTGTTCAGGAGCAGCACCGCAATACCCAGCAAGCCAAAACTGAGTTTGCAAAAGCTTCCAAAGCCCCTTTCAGACTGGCTGCCAGGCCTGCTGTGTCTGCACGTGACTCTAAGACTATGCTCCCTGCAATCCCTTCCAGGTAGCAGAAGGAGCAGAATCCCTCTGAGTCATTAGGGGGATCACGTTCTTCTCTCCGCACAGGCAAGCGGACCCAGAAGCATCAGTTGGTGCCAGAGGCAGCAACCTGCTCTGTGTTGGTCACTGGCAGTGCAGGACACCAGTGCCTGTTAGATTTCGAGCGGGATTTACAGTGTAGTGTTTTCCTTATAAAGTCCTACATAGCCTGTGACTTACCCAACTTAAGCGCCTCTGTCCCCATTGCATACTGCTGCAGCTCTCATCGGCATGACTTTTTAAGCCTGGATCGTCCTTGATTTAAAACAGTGGTTTTCAACCTTTTTCCATTTGCGGACCCCTAAAAACTTCCGAATGGAGGTTTGAATCCTCCTGAAAATCTTAGAGGGGGGACCACTCGTTGAAACCACTGATCTAAAAGACAAAGGGAGTTAGCAGTAGAGTGTTCTCCAGTGAGGCCCTCTGCTGAGTCTGGGAGTGAAAGATCGGTGAGGGAGAGGAGTGAAGAAGAGGCCAGAGCAAGCAGTAAGCACAGGGGAGTGAAGGATGGGTTGATGGAGTCCAGGCACTGTGATGGTGTACTATGTTAAGGGCATTCTTTGTGCCCCTAGGAGCTGTGTCTACATTTTTCTACTGCCCATGCTCAGTATTCAGTTTTCAAATGGTTATGTTGGTATTGCATCAAAAGCAGCAGCATTTAAAATAAAACAAAACAAAGGCATTGGTCCTCTGTTCAGACTGTTTATTTCAAGTTTTATACTTAGGCTGTTTTTGATGTAGTTTTTTAACAAGTGTCCTTAGATATTTTACAGTATAAATGTGTGTATATTCTTCCCTTCTCATAAGAAAATAACTGAAAGAATTTTGCTAATATCTTCCAAAAACATTCCCTGTTGGGCAAAAACCAAGTGTGAACGTTTCCACACAAAAAGGTGACTATTTCATGAAGGTGTGTATGAATACATGGCATGATAATGGAAATCCCTGTACATGTTTAACCATGCCAGCCTGCCCCATAGTAGTTCACTTTTTTGTCCTAACTGCAGTAATGGTACTAGGTTTTTATAGTTCTCATATTCTTGAAATGCTTCGGGGGAATGATTTAGCAACTGTAAGTCCATAAGTAATGCAGAATAGCATGAAGCTGTCCAAAATGCTGATGAATTCCAAGATTTTTATATAACCTTAAATAATATTTACCAGGAAATCCTGGCATTAATTTCAACAGCACTATTACCGCTAAATATTAGTTTAAACTAAAAACTATAAATATGTATTTTAAACATCTTCCCCACCTCCTAAAATATACAGTGGTCAATCTTAAAATTTTTGCCTTAGTTAACTATATAATGTTAATTCAATATTCACTGCATTCCATGTTCCAAGTATACAAAATACTGAGGTGACCATATTTATTTATCAGAGGTAGAATTGGCTAGATTGACAGGGCAACCATTGTATTTAATGCTCCTGGAAAGTGCTGGGTTTACCATACCGGAAGTTGTCATCTCCAGTTTATTCTATAGAGTAGGTACAGCACAGCAGTGGCAATGCAAGCTTCCCCAGTGTGTGTAACCCTGATCTGGGGTGAGAAGGTAGTTCCATCTCTATGCCTCTTCTATCCCTAGTGTTTCTACTGAGAGGGCCCAAAAGAGTGAGGATACCAGTTGTGATGTATTGTGATGACACTTTTTCACTTGGAACTAAGCTTAAAACTGTCGTTTCACATAGTTCAGCTATCAGATTTTAACTCCTTGTAGATTCCAGCAACATGATCTTAACCCAAACAGCGATCTAGAGATAAAAGACTTCAGATCTCACTGTTAATTCCCAGACCTGCTATAAATTCCCTGGAAGCGCTAAAATGTATACATATATCACAGGAGTATTTCAAACATTCTTTTTTCTAATGGTAACTGTTTACTTTCTCTTCTTGTTTACTTTTTAAGGGATGATACTTCAGCTGCAAATATGACAAGGTGGTTGGTTTTAACAATATGTCTATTATTGTCACCATTGGAGTACTCAATAGCCATTTTCTCCCTTCCTTTCTTCCTTTTTTCTTCTCTGCTGTTTTTTCCTCCATATTATCTTCAGACTGGTATCTTTCAGGCTTGGGGCCACTGCCCCTCCATGCACAGTCTCTGGTTGGTGCAGATCGGGTCTCCCCCTCAATACACAAACTCCGGCAACACCGCCCCCTGGGGCGCACGCAGTCTGCTCCCCTTCCCCAGAATGCCCAGGCCCTCCAGCAGTTAGTGATCCAGCAACAGCATCAACAGTTCCTGGAGAAACACAAACAGCAATTCCAGCAACAGCAACTTCACATTAACAAGGTAGGCACACTGATTGTAAATGCTTTCTTGCTCATGCAATTTTAATGCAGCCTTTAGCTAACGTTCTTAGTTAATGGTTTCTCTCACTGTAATATGTATGGCCTCTAACAATATAATTAATTGCTTTTCATCCTTAGATCTCTTTTTCATAGTTTTGTGAAATATATTGGGTTACATACGGTGGTTTATTCATATCATCATCTAGGTAAGAAATGATACCTCTGATGCAGATGCTGGGAAAGGAAGTACAATTTAAGCTACTGGTTTTCCAATCATATTTTCAAAACTCTTTATGGTGCCTTCCACATCAGCATCTTATCCAGTTTTAGAGAGGAGAGCATACAATGCTCTCAAGGAATGTAGGGGGAAATGGATATATTGTACATATATTTTGCTTGAAGGAGGAGAAAGAGTGTAGTGTAAAGCGGTGTAATAAAATAAAAGTAAAGTAAAAGAGTCCATTGATGATAAACTAAAAATTAATTGGGGAAGGGGTGTTTCTACTCAAGAGGATGTTCAGATTTATTTAAAGTTTGCTCACCAGGATAATCTTCTAAGAGAGAGTAATGGGACAGAGCACTTGAATGGGAGCCAGGAATTCCTGACTTCCATTCCCAGCTCCAATGCCAGCACCCCCCACCTCCCGCCTATGCCGTTGGACACATCATTTTATCTTCTCTGCCTCCATTTCCCCATCTGAAAATGGGGACTTCTCCTAGCCCAAAGAGGCTTTGTGAGTATTAATTAGTTAATAGTTATAAAGTGCTTTGAAGCTGGAAAGTGCAATCTGTGTTTTAAGTATTATCGCACTTTCCATGAAGCACCTGGAGAACAGCAGATAAGTATACGTGTGTTGCACAAAGCTGTTCATCAGTACACAAATATTGCATTCGCTTTGCAGGTCAAATAGATTATGGTGTAGAGATAGATTATCTGTAGCAAAGAAGAGGTTATTTCAACTTATTGTGCAGGTATGTTTCTTCAAAGACAAAATGGTTCGCGTAAGTGAGGATAGAATCTGAATTTAAAACTTGTCTTTTAAACACATGGGGGAAGATCGCAGCTGGTGTAACTGGAGCTATGGCAGTTTACCCCAGCTGCTAATCTGCCCCACTTCTTTGGAAGGTAAAGTCAGCTGTTAGTCATTACAATAAAAAGAAAGCTGCTCCGACTGGGGGATAGATCAGAAATGTTTAATTCTTTTTAGTTCTGTTCTAATCAGCATACTTGTACTAGTAATTAAAAAAAAAAAAATAAAAAAAATTACTCAAGGAGCTCCAGTTGTGGTTTCTTAAAAAATCCCCCCACACTGACAGATTCTGAAAGAAAACTCAGACTGCCAGTTTGCTTTTCAGAGTGCTGTGGTTCCATTTCGGGTGGACATTTCTCCAAATATTTTCACTGTTCCAGTTATATGAGAAAATATAACTACTAGAAGCTGGATTAGCCTGCTTGAGTGGTGGCCCATATAAAATCTTTCCAGTAAAAGAGAGAGTCACAATTTAGAAAAAGAAAAGCCCCCAAACACTTTGTTTATAGAATAAAGCTAAGTTGGGATGATTACACAAGCTACTGACGTCAATCTTGTACTTCTGGATATTTGCCACTACGCTATGCATGTGCCAGCCCTGGACTTCATTCAGGCTAGCATACTGATGTGGTGTGGAGCTGCTGTTGCTATGGAGATTTCCCTTACCTCACTCTAAACATGCTTTGTGTAGTGAAGTTCAAAATCAGGATTGCTGGAAGCAGGCAGTAGGTTCAGTTTCTTTGTTAGTAAGTAAATTGCACTTCAGTGGCTTGTTTGTTTAGTTTTTTAAGACTTCCCTTGCCAAAACTTGTAAGTGTCCAAAGACTTCACTGTGACGTACTACTGAACTCATTGAGGCTTTCATTTAGACCTCCCAGGAGTTTGAAGTGTGTGTGTGATATTGTGCAGACTGATGCCTCTTTCAGTAGCCTGAACTCAGACCTAGTTAAAATTGTGATGTGTCATGTCCATGGAAAAAGGGGGAGGGGAAAAAATAGCTGAATGAGGACAATTTCCATTTGTTTTACTTGTTAAAGTAATGAGTTAAAATGCTTTAACATATTGTGCGTGTGGCAGTTTTATCCCATGGGATAACATCCAAATGCGTACATGGAAAAATTATTCTCAGTACGTTCAGATATTTTAGGGTCCTGTGTAGCGTAGCAGCATAACTAAAAATCACGTAATGGATTATTGTCTTTTAATCATAGGCAGGGCTCATGGCACTCTGTTTTCAGTTGCTTGTGGTTTTGCCAAACTTTTACCATTTGCTTTTAAATTTTCCATGTCAGATGTCTGCCTCAGGCTGAATTTTTTGGAAAATTTCTGCCAAAATAGTTCAAACTTTTCTGAGAACAAGGCTGGGGGGAAAAACATGTGTTGCCGATGTTAAAAGAAAATGTTGCCAGAATTTTTTAAAATTTCTAGTCCTCCCCATTCTTTGGAGCAGGGACTTGAAATTTGAATGCAAGGTGGCTTCTGTGTCACGGACGTGCCTTTTGCCATCCCTAGAGTTTAGTTGCTCAAATCTCCAAAGTTTCAGTCCTCACAGAATGAGTTCTCACAGCTCCTAGTGATGACCGGCCTATGCATGTGCCATCCCAGCTGAGGACATGCCATCCCTCACAGCTCCTAGCGCTGACTGAACATGTGCTATCCCCACAGAGCAGCTGAGCATGCACCATCTCCTCACAGCTCCTACATATGGTGAAGCAATGCTTCCGTCTGCCCCACAGAATGACTGTGAATGCTCCATTCTAGAGATACAGGGGCAAAACCATGCTCTCCCTGTAATGACTGCTCAGAACCAGGGTGGTGCTGAGCGCTGGAACTGAGAGCCTGTCTCTGCTGTGATCTCAGTGAACCCCTGGGGTGCCCAAGCAGAGAGGAGCAGGAAATGCAGAGGAGGCAAAAGCTGGGCTGGGGAAAGGGAAAAGAATAGCTTAAGGCAAGAAGTCTGGTGAGACTGGGCCTGAAGGGGTGTCAGGGAGAAAGTAGACTTGCTGGATAAGGAGTTGGAGACTGATTGGGCGAGAAATCTGGAAACAGCTGATGAGACACACAAGGACAGAGGATGGACTAGGAGCTGTTGGGACAGGAAAACACTGAGCTCGAATGAGGAGCTGTGAGAAGACTGTGACTGGCTAGACAAAGAGACTAGGACTAGAAACCAGTGTGCAGGGGAAGGCAAACATATCTGACAAGGAGCTCGTGGTGTGTGGGAGAACTGGAATGGTCTCATCAAAGAGACTAGGACAAGGAGCCAGGGAAGGGGTTGACTGGGATAAGGAGTGGGTAGGCTTGGTGCATGGAGCTGATATGGGATGGGTGGGGGAGACAGTTCAGACAAGAAGCCCGGAGGAAGGATCTAGGACTGGCCAGGCATGGAGACTGGAACTAGGTTGAGAAGCAGGGGGGGTGGAAACTTGGTCTGGGTGGGCAAGGAAAGTGGGACTGGGAGAAAGAGCCAGGGGTGGGAAAGAGACAGAATTGGGATAAGGGCTAGCTGGGAGGGAGATGGGCAGAAGAATCTGTACCCACTAGAGCTCACTCCCTTCCAGAGCCTAGAATGGAACCCAGGATTCCTTAATCTTACTATTCCTTCACCATCAGCAAATATCTGAAGCCCACTGGCAAATTGCCTGTCTGATCCCCCTCTTGTGCTGATCCACATATTGGATGAGAGCCTAGTGCTGCTATCAGTTACTCCATTAGCTCAAGTGGCAAGGTCTTTGTGGTGGATCTAAAGGTTCCAACCCTGCTGGTGACACCTGGAGGTGTCAATATGATGGAATTTGTTTTTTCAGGGTTTTTTTTAAACTTAGGAAATTACACATACAAACGTACATTAAAAGAACATTAAGATTGCAAAGTCAAGCATTCAGAAGGTAGGAAATGCCAGAAATAAAGTTCACTGTGCAATTTTAATTCACCCACCTTATGCATATGCTACCCTTGAAAGAATTCTGTACCAAAAAATTAAAAATTCTGCGCACAGTATTTAAAAATTCTGCATATTTTATTTGTCAAAATAAGACAATATAATCACACCATTTTCAATTATTTGCTGATGAGTATTTTGAAATAAATTACCAAAATAATTGAAAATGGTATGATTATATTTTTATGGTGTTACTGTGCTATTTTGAACAAATAAAATATGCAGAATTTAAATTTTTTTAATTTTTTGGTGCAGAATTCCCTCGAGTACCAGGGTTCTGTGTGGCGCAATCTGGGTGCGGGCAGCTTGGTGGGGAGTCTTGGTATGGGGAGGGGGGAAATTGGATGCACAGGGACTCGGTGGGGGAGTTCAGGTGAAGGTGATTAGGGCTCGGTGGGGGTGGATGGGAGCTGGAGGAGTGGGGCTTGGTGGGTCAGGGTGCAGATGGTTGGGGCTCAGTGGGGTTCTGAGTGTGGGGGGCTCCCAATGCAGGGGGTGAGGGTCGGTGGGGTGAAGGTTCAGAGGGCTTGGTAGAGGGGTTCTGGATGCAGGGGGCTCCTGATGCGGGGTGTTTGGTTGGAGGGTTCCAGGTGTGGGGAGGGGTCACTGTACAGGGAGCTGCTCCCCCTGTTCACCCAACCCCTGTGCATCTGGGCCTCCCCCACTGAGCCTCACCCCCCCCCCCACTCGGAACCCCCATCCCATCGAGCCTCACCTCCTGCACCCAGACCCCCCCAGTTCCCATCTGCATAATAGGGATAATACCCCACCCCCCCATCACCTCAAGGGGGAGGAGCTCTCCTGCTGACATAGCTCTGTGTACATGAATGCTTATGACGGTGTAACTCATGTTGCTTAGGGGGGTGGAATATTCACGCCACTGGGTGACCTACGTTTTGCCAACATAGGCTGTAGTGTAGACATAGCCTTAGATTGGCTTAACTACACCGCTAGAGGTGTGGATTTTTTACATTCCTGAGAAAAGTAGCTCTGTCAGTGTAAATTTCCAGTGTAGACCAGCACTAAGACTTGACCTAATAGGCTACAACCCTTGTCTAAAGCGGACTTCAAGGGTGAGAAACTTTCTGCAGAGTTTGTTGGTTTTCAGTCAATCCAGGATCCATTCCTTCATGAATCACCGCGCTCTGCCAATAGCATCCTCAGCGAAATGGTTTTCTCCTTGCACCCCTTGATATATCCAGTAGACCTTTGAAATGCATTCCTGTTGGTTGTGCCTGGTGTACTGCCACCATACTGTGCTCACTTTTCTCACCCACCCCCATCAACTTGTTTTCCCTATTGACTTTGCATGCCAATATAGCTCCCATTGTTTTTGTCTCACAATGCTTAATCTGCCTACCATAGAGATAACTACTTTACCTATGGACTGGAAAAAACCTGTTTCTCCCTTTGTTTGGTTACAGACTTTAAAGCCTTATCATTATTATTATTATTTATTAATTAATATGTATATATAATTCCTCATGTAGTGTTAGTACATAAACATCACACTGATATTAGTGACTCGTGTGTCACCAGCTTCCATTTGATACCTCAGATGATATACTTTATAGATAGATTCTGTGACAGCAATGTGTTGGGTGTAGTGAGTTTGTCAGGAGCAGTAGGAGTTGCTGACAGAACAGGAAACCCTTTGCCAGTTGGTACAGAGGGGCTCTTGGGGTCACAGTCACATGGACTCCCAAACACTTGGGATTTGAGGTTGCAAAGTGAGTGTGACCGCTGGAGGAAACAAGCTTACTAGTAGCACTTGACTAAGTGCAGGGCAGCACGAATCTTGGTGTTTATTTTTGTAGTTGTGGTACAAATCACCAAGCGCAACTTTTCTGTCCTATAGCAACTAAAATACTCGACTTCAGCTTCATTGGGAACCAGGAGGAAGGCATCTGATTTTGTAAGATGCAATTTATGGGTATGTCAGAAAGAGGCTTGGCAAACAGGAAACCCAGACGAGAACAAATCTGTCACTCGTTTGCTTCTGGGTTTTTACTGCCAAATGGTTGTTTCCATGCAGACGTTGAATGAAGTGGAGCAGGCCTGCAAAGCATACAGGCTTTAGGGGATTCCAATTTCATGAGAGAAAAATCAAACAACAAAATAAGAGGATCATTGTTACTTAGGACATGTTTCCCTGATAAGAGATTAATAGGCTAACCCAGTCTCTTTCTCTTTACTATAATTATCCTTTTGTTTTGGAGCTAGTTTGTAAGAAATGCTAAGTCACTTTTTATTTTGCTTTCATTAAGTTGATTCTTTAGTTGAGAGCACAGTCAGCTTTAACTCTGATGTGTTACACTTTATTTATCAGTTAACCTCTGGGATGTTTTCAGATGATACCAAAACCGAATGAGCCAGCCCGCCAGCATGAAAGCCACCCTGAGGAGACGGAAGAGGAGTTACGAGAACACCAAGCACTTTTGGAGGAGCCATACAGTGACCGAGTCTCAAGCCAAAAGGAGGTGCAAGGGTTGGCCAATATGGTGCAGGTGAAGCAAGAGCCCATTGAGAGTGATGAAGAGGAAACAGAACCACCACCGGAACTAGAGCCAGGGCAGAGGCAAGCTGAACAGGAGCTGCTATTCCGTCAGGTAAGGTACAACAGAGTGACAATGTGCATACAAAGTGGTCTCTTGAAGTATGATGGAAGCAGACTGGCATTGTACTGTTGGTAAGCTTCTGCTGCCACCGTCTGCTCTGTACCTGTTTTGTGGCTATGTAAAGGTGAGGTATTTGAGATAAGTTCGCAGAGATAGTAATACAGATTAATATCAGTAATAATGAAATAGCTAGAAGGGCAGTGTATGCTAGCATAGCTACGCAGGGCATTTCAATGAGAGACATATAGACTATCTTCCTTTTGGTGGAGGCAGAAGTAGTGCTGAGCTGCTGCTTTTTTAAATATTTGCCATCATGCCAAAATGTCCCCAGTAATGTGAAGGGCACAACTGCCTGGGAAAACCCCACAGCACAGAGAGCTGCATGCTGGACGCAGCAGAGAGGCTGCCAGATCCCCTTCGAAGTGAGACAGAGCAGCAGTGGGCAGAGGACTGAAGCCCTGGCGGTACCATACGATGGTCTGAGTCACTTTGAGGACTGAGCCAACTGCTTGCTGGGTAGCAGTGTTACCATCATTTTGCTGTACACGCTGTAACTTGGTACTGTGTTCAGTGATATGCTTCAAATTATAACAGTAAAAGCTGTGTTATCCGGCACTTTATCAACCAGAAAGCTCTATTAACCAGCATTTCTGATATCTCCCAATACAAATCTTCAATCTAGTAACCGGGACTAGTATACTGCCCCGCACATTCTGCAATTGCACATTCTGCACTCTACTTTTATGCAAAAGAGGCAGAAGACAAGTAAGCAAGCTGGTATCAGGGATTTATTCAAAAAAGCAGCTTCCAGGGTGTATCATAGGGTCATTACAGACAGATTCAGCCCAATCTCCTACCCAGTCTACATCTACAGTGATAACTGATGTTGATAATGACGACCCTGAGCACTGCAAGATCCTGAAGTGCCTTCTGAATCACCAAAAAAAGATTCAATTATGTTCAGTATAGTTTTAGTGTTAGGTGTATTTTTAGTGATCTGGGTGTATGTCATGCGCCACACATAGTGATATGTAGTGTCATAAGATAACCTACTGTATAGAAAACTTTACATGTATACACCTAAGTGCTTCAAGAAACCAACCACTCTGCAATGCAGTACAACTACTGGATTGGTGAGTACCTGTATACTATTTTATACTTTATTCATTTTAATTCTTTGAAAATTGGTATTCCATTGGTAAACATAACACTTAGTTACCTGGAATTTTTAATTGACTGGCACCCCCATTCTCCCAACATGCCGGATAACAAAGCTTTTACTGTACAATTATTATTGACTTTAAAGGGGCAAATATGCGTGAAGCATAGAGTATTTATAATTAGTATACATTTGAAGTCCAGGTCGATTAACTACATGAAAACACTTCTAAAATTAACTCAATCATCTACTAAGTTTAATAAGCAAAGAATAATGAAGTACTTATCCTTAGAATTATAGAAATTAAATAATATATCAATAAGCATCATCATATTGCCATCTCTAAATATGGTTAGAAGATAGAAGGGCTAGGGATATCATTACACAGCTGTATATTGAACCCCATTAGAAGAGGAATAATGACAGCAGTGCACCAATGTATGGTCCACAGAGATGACAGCACTTGAATTTTATGACTATAGTATTACGTGCTTTGGCACAAGCAGAGGGTGAGGGGAGGCACTGCCGCAAGACAATGCAATTAGGACCTGATCCAAAGTCCATTTAAGTCAATAAGAGTTTTTTCATTGACTTCCATGGGCTTTACCTAAAGCAACTGAGAGGTATGTTACAAACTGGTGAATCCCCATTGCCTGTGGAAAATAACGTTAGCTGTAATTGCAGCATAATGCAACCTTTGGAAACATTTCCATGTCCTTTGGGATTCAGCTGGAACACATCAATTTTCACCAAGAGACGTTTGTTGGCCAGCATACCAAGTCATCTGCAGACGTTGCATAGAGGAAGTGTGGCTGGATTGCCGGGGGAAAACGAAGCATCAGGGCAAAACTGTATATTTCTTGTAATGACTTATACACAGGGACACAGTACACATCGTTCCAGGTTTATTAGCTTGGTTGAAAGTATGCAAATTGGACCTGCATTTAGGAAGAAAGAAAATAGTGATTATTTCTAATGTTCATGCCCCTGCTTTTGCCAGTTTCAGACACTGTAGGGCAGCCTTCTACACCCCCGCCGTGCTATCAACACATGACTTGTCCACTAAAGGACAGTTTGCCAACCCTAGGAAACAAATGTCATTTCTTTAGAAAATAAAGTGGAATTCCTGCCTTATCACAGTGGATACTTGCCTCTTGAGTCTCCAGTGTAATGTGACTGGTTTGCACCATTCTGACAGCACAGAACAATCTTAAAGCTCAGGCATCTGGCTGCTGGAGGATTTCTTCTAATTGAAGGAATCTTCAGGTGATATTTGTGCTAAAACTGCTCCTATGCTACCTCCCCTCCATGCAGCCAGCACAGGCGGCAGCACAGACGTATTCCTTTGGATCCTGATCCCCAGCTGCAGGAGCAGCCCTGAGTGTTAAGGAGAGCAGCCTTCACTCCACAGGATGCTCATTGCATGCAATACAATTAGGATACATAAATTAATATAGAGTCGTTTGCACTGGGATCTGTATACCCTTGGTAGGACAGGTCTGTGGATTAAAGATGAAGGAAACAAGTGCCTGACTGTATCTAATCTGTACCTAGAAAGTCAAGAAAACAGAAAAATACTTAATACTGTTAGGAAAAGATCCTGAGATGCCTTCATTAAATAGATCAGCCTTGTAAACAGTGAATAATACAGGCAAATAAACTGACTTCTGCACAGGAATACCTAGAATTCCAAAGGTGACTGTTAAACAGCGTTCATTTACTTGTTTGGAATCATGTTAGGCCTTGAACGTATACAGAGTAGGTATTTCATAAGCCCATGCTCGAGACCTTGGACATCTCTGCCAGGGGTCACTTGTCATAATTCTGCTTCTCTGTGTCCTTTGCTAATATAACTGGTCAGATTCTCAGTTGGTGAGAATTGGTGTAGCTCCATTGAAGTCAGTGATTCTATGCCGCTTTATTCCAGTTGAGGCTCTGGTCCTGTCTTTTCTGCTGCAATATGGTAACCTTTGTTGTAAATCACTGATTTTTATCAGGAGGCTGTGTGTATTTCTGGCATTGTTTAGTTCTAGTTTGGTTTTTAAAGATAGAATATATGCTCTTTTGCCTCCTAACTCCAGAAATGTGTCTTATGGTCCAGCCCACAGAAAAAGCCATGATCGGTGAAAATAGCAGTAACTTCTCAGTGTGTCACCATACTAGGGCAGAAAAAAACCCCATATTCATATATTAATAAACATTGCATAAAGTGGATAGGAGTGGAAAACTTGTGCAAGGTGCATGCAGGATGGTCCTCCTGACCTGCATTGCTGTTTAAGTATGTTTGTGTATGTAGATAGATGGCCACACTCCAGGTTTTATGGTTCTAAAAGCATCCAGTAATAGAATACCCACTAACAGTAGGTGTGGTGTGGAGAAGCAGTCACTTAGTGCTCTCTAAAATGGAGCTAAATGCTGTGAAAGCTCAGTTGAAAGTGTTGTTAAAGTTCACCTCACCTTGGTTTTGAATCTGTATTAGCTATTCAAAATATAGTGCACGTTTGTAGTTGTGGGCCTCTTTTATTCCTCCTACATAAGAGAAAAAGTGAGACTCTTAAAATAAACAAATACATCTTTGATTAGTAAATATTAGCAGGCTGAGGATTTTGTTTAAGTCAAGCTGTCAGACCCAGATTGAAGGGGGAAGGGGCAGGGTATTTTTGGCACAGAGCCCTTGACCCTGGAATCAGCCTCCTCTGTATGACTAGCACAGCAGAAGTTTGTTGACCTTGTGGAAATGTTGCGAGACCTGTGCATTACGAATAGCAGGGAGCCAAATGAGGATCAAGTGGCTGCAACATCATTACCTTCAAATATCTCCCAAAGGCATCATGTCCTTGCAGCAGTAAAAAGGGGGAAGGTGTAGATAGATGGCCACACTCCAGGTTTTATGGTTCTAAAAGCATCCAGTTTGCAGCCATGCTTCTGTTGCCCATTCTTTATTTGATTTACACAAACATGAGCCTATTGCCTGAGCATTTGGACATATTTGCATTAATAAAACTTAAGCAGCATTTAACATCATGCTGCTAACAACTGGCTGCAGCAAGAATCCTTCCCAAATTTACAGCTTCCCCCTGCCATAATAAAAATATAGACATAAGGTATTAATCTCAGACAATTACCTGAGCAACCCTAAAAAGAAAACTGTCGTCCCCTAACGCCCCTACTCTACTTGAGCTACATTGATGACATCTTCATCATCTGGACCCATGGAAAAGAAGCCCTTGAGGAATTCCACAATGATTTCAACAATTTCCATCCCACCATCAATCTCCTCCTGGACCAGTCTACACAAGAGATCCACTTCCTGGACACTACAGTGCTAATAAGCGATAGTCGTGTAAACACCACCCTATACCGGAAACCTACTGACCACTATACTCACCTGCATGCCTCCAGCTTTCATCTAGACCACACCACACGATCCATTGTCTACAGCCAAGCTCTAAGATACATTTGCTCCAACCTCTCAGACAGAGGCAAACACAATCAAGATCTCTATCAAGCATTCTTACAACTACAATACCCACCTGCTGAAGTGAAGAAACAGATTGACAGAGCCAGAAGAGTACCCAGAAGTCACCTACTACAGGACCGGCCCAACAAAGAAAGTAACAGAACGCCACTAGCCGTCACCTTCAGCCCCCAACTAAAACTTCTCCAGCGCATCATCAAGGATCTACAACCTATCCTGAAGGACGATCCCCCACTCTCACAGATCTTGAGAGACAGGCCAGTCCTTGCTTACAGACAGCCCCCCCCCAATCTGAAGCAAATACTCACCAGCAACCACACAACAAAAACACTAACCTAGGAACCCATCCTTGCAACAAACCCCATTGCAACTCTGTCCACATATCTCTTCTGTCCACATATCACAGGACCTAATCACATCAGCCACACTATCAGAGGCTCGTTCATCTGCGCATCTACCAATGTGATATATGTCGTCATGTGCCAGCAATGCCCCTCTGCCATGTACATTGGCCAAATCGGACAGTCTCTACGCAAAAGAATAAATGGACACAAATCAGACGTCAAGAATTATAACATTCAAAAACCAGTCGGAGAACACTTCAACCTCTCTGGTCACTCGATTACAGACCTCAAAGTCGCAATACCCCAACAAAAAAACTTCAAAAACAGACTCCAACAAGAAACTGCAGAATTGGAATTATTTGCAAACTTGACACCATTAAATTAGGCTTGAATAAAGACTGGTAGTGACTGGGTCATTATACAAAGTAAAACCTATTTCCCCATGCTAATTTTTTTCCCCTACTGTTACTCACAATTTCTTCAAAAAGAACAGGAGTACTTGTGGCACCTTAGAGACTAACAAATTTATTAGAGCATAATGCATCCGAAGAAGTGGGCTGTAGTCCACGAAAGCTTATGCTCTAATAAATTTGTTAGTCTCTAAGGTGCCACAAGTACTCCTGTTCTTTTTGCGGATACAGACTAACACGGCTGCTACTCTGAAACCTGTCACACTTTCTTGTCAACTGTTGGAAATGGGCAATCCTGATTATCACTACAAGTGTTTTTTTTTTCTCCTGCTGCTAATAGCCCACCTTAACTGATTACTCTCATTATAGTTAGTATGGCAACACCCATTTTTTCATGTCCTCTGTGTATATATATCTTCCTACTGTATTTTCCACTGCATGAATCTGATGAAGTGGGTTTTAGCCCACGAAAGCTTATGCTCAAATTTGTTAGTCTCTAAAATGCCACAAGTACTCCTCGTTCTTTTTCCTAAAAAGAAAACGTCCTTCACAGTTCAGACAGAAGATGGAGCGTTTTTCTATATAGGGACACTCCAAAAAGCTAAGTGGAATTAACTAAAGATGTGAAGTTAAAATCCATTAGTTTAAAGCTTATTAACCTCCCATGTGGACACACTCATTCAGAAGTAAAATGGTCTTAATTCACTTCATTTAATCCCCTTTGGGAACAAAGGCCAGTGTTCTGAGGTTGCACCGAGCATTCTCTCCCTCAGGTGCTTGCTGGCTGGTTCTTGCTCACATGCACAGGGTCTAAGTAACAGTAGTCTCATTGGCAGCCAGTGGGCCAGATCTGGCCCTCAAAAGCATCCACACACACCCCACGTCCCACCCTCGAGCAAACCTGCTCTGCAAAGAGGCATCCTCTGCACAGCATAATCTCATATGCTGTACGTGAACGATTACACTGCATGGAGGACACCATGTTCTACAGCATGTATTTCTGTATGTGGACTGCAGAGGTGCCCCACAACTGGCATCCAACCCACAGGACTGAAAGAGTTGTCCCACCCAATGCTCTGTATGGTTGGGAAGGAATTTTTCCCCTAGGTCAGCTTGGCAGGGGTCCTGGGGTAAATTTTGTCTTCCTCTGCAGGTTTCTTGCTGGGAACATCTGAGTGTATCTTGTGTAATTGCCTGCCATTGCAAGGGCCTCAGGCACTGGTACACCTCAGTACCCCCTATTCTCCGCATGTGACACATAATAGTTTAGTCTTTTGATGTCTGTAATACTTTGGTTTAATTTCAGTTATTGGGTTTAGCATGTGGGTGCAGGGTAGTCCGGGTGGCCTGTGATATACAGAAGGTCACGCTCACCTTAAATTCTCTATTTCTAAAGTAGACAGTCTATGCAGGGTTTTAATGTGATTTAACTTAACATCTTCAGTTAATTTGTCTTAATTGTTTCTGGTGTCCGCACGAGTATATGAGCTTGGCACGGTCTTGGTCCTGACCCTTGGATCAATATGGGAAAGACGTTTAGTGAAGGGTCCTCCATTGGGAACATTCTGCCATCAGCCCTGATCCAGTCACATGTAGGGCCTCTGGGTGATGACTCTTGTGCACATTTTGACTATTACACACATTCAGAAGGGGCGTGGTGGTCTTGAGTTGCAAAAACATAAATCATGGAAGGCTGCAAAGTCAGCATGTGGGTTTGTATCCAAAAGCAAATTTGAGCTTTTTAAAAGCTGCACTTGAATAGCTGTGTAAGGGTGCGTAGACTCTGTAGTGTGAGTGAGTGTGTTCTAAGTCCCTGATTCAGAGCTCATGGAATTTAATGGGACCTTTTCCACTGTTTCCTTGGGCTTTGGATCAGGCCTTCATTTTAGCACGCCTCCCTCCGTATGTATGTTTAATGTATGTGTGTGTGTTCACTGTGTCTAGGAAATAAACCAAAACTCCAAACAAAATTGTTTTTAAAATTCCATGCCAACCTTTTTTTATTGTGATATTTGCATGAACCATCCCCTTATATTCCTTTCCATCCTCCCCAACAGCAAGCCCTTCTACTGGAGCAGCAACGCATTCACCAGCTGAGAAACTACCAGGCATCAATGGAGGCAGCTGGCATTCCAGTGTCTTTTGGAGGACATCGGCCTCTGTCTCGTGCACAGTCCTCACCTGCATCTGCCACCTTCCCCATGTCCGTACAGGAGCCACCAACTAAGCCGAGGTTCACAACAGGTAATATTTCAGGGCCTGGGAGGGTGATTGGATGTGGCTGAGAGTTCTGTTTGGGTACATTATCATTTATTCCTTAAAAAGCACTTGACCACGTAGAAGTGGAATGGGTGACACTAACGCATCGTTGGAGGAGGCAAGGATTGCCCTCCCGTGAAAAAGCCACCCCCAAACCTGGTGTATTCCCAACTATCAGGTGGTGGCCAGGATGTTATTCTGGCTTTGGCTAACCCCATGCTCTGTGGCTAAGTGGGGGATGGAACAATCTGGGTCAGTCATTATACACCATATTCTGCCCTACCCCCCCACAACCTCCATCACCAAAGGGAGAGATCCTATAGAGGGAGAATACTATATGTGTATTTTAATTAAGCTAAAAAAAAGTGAAAGCGATGCAGTGTTATGACTGTACATTCCCAGAAACAAGGCCAATTCAGACTAAACCATGCGGTTGATGTGAACATGAGGAAGGAAGAGACACAGCATGATTGATAAAGGACAATGTACCAAGCAACGCTTCTAGCCTGAACTCTTAATTTACTTCCAAGCAGATTTTGGACCATGTTCTCTGCCCCAGTTCAAGCCCTTTTGCGCCTTCTGAGTGACACACAGGGGGTGTGGTCTGGCTGCAGCAGCCTTGTTGTGAATTCCTCCCAGGGATAGGGGAAACTCTCAGCTGTGGTATCATTGGCATAGGAGCTAGCTCTGCCAATCAGCTCCTGCTCTTCCCTAGTGTAAGGAGCAGGAAGGGGCTATGCTATGTCAGAGGCAGATCACTTCACAGATGGCATATGGTAGCCACTTGTTAAGTTAGGGTAGCCGTCAGGTTACCTGATGGCCTGACCCTCCTGCACTGAATGGATTTTTGCATAGGAGATACGCATTGGTTTTAAATAGATTTTTTACAATTTAATTTTCACTGTTGTATTGTGAGTCCATTAATGGCTATTAGCCAGGACGGGTAAGGAATGGTGTCCCTAGCCTCTGTCCGTCAGAGGATGGAGATGGATGGCAGGAGAGAGATCACTTGATCATTGCCTGTTAGGTTCACTCCCTCTGGGGCACCTGGCATTGGCCACTGTCGGTAGACAGGATACTGGGCTAGATGGACCTTTGGTCTGACCCGGTACGGCCGTTCTTATGTTCTTATGGGGGGGGGGGTGAGAAAGGAAAATATTCAGTCCATAGTGTAAATGGTCTGGCAGCTGAGCTTAAATGGTAAGTATGCAATAATGGGCTTTTTAATAACATGGATATTGTTTTCTTGTTATAGTCCATACTAGCCCCATCCTGGAAGGTAGGTAGGCACAATTCCTCATTCTTGGATCAGCTACCAAAGTGTGTAAATGTGTGTAGGATACTGTTCTCCCCCAGAGACCAAAAGAGAGAAAAGTTTCTCCTTCCTAAGCCATTAAGGACCATCATCAAAATCCTTTCATATGCATTCTATTTTCTTTGGTAAATTCTGTTTTGGATAATCACTCAATATATGGAGTTTTTCAATGCCTACGTTAGGTAGTTAAGAAGAGTTTTGTAACATGCACCGATTTCTTCCCAATATACCAAAGGCCATTTTGTGAATGAATGTCTTACCAAATAATGAAAGTGTCTGTGTGCAAAAAAGTCTCAAGGCCAAATCACAATTCCTGTTTTTATTTTCTTTGCACTAAATAACTGAAGTACCCAAACCAATATTTTTCCATACCCTGAAAGACAATCCGCTTGGTCTGTAAGTTTGTTGGCCTACATTAATAACAGCAGTTAGATGTAAAGTACAAGCCTTTGGTACCTGTGCATGCTAGCTGTGAATTTGAGCATGCATGTCTAGCAGTGTACATGTCCAAGCAGTTGCCTGCTTATTGAAAATCAGGCCTTATAATGTCAAGTTTTTATAACAACTGAATACCTTGATTTCTAATGGAAACAACAATGCAGTCAGTAGTGGCACCAGAAAGGGCAAGGATACAATAGTGTGTGCTGGCATTTTCAAAGGATCCTGAGGGAATTAGGCACCCAAACACCATTGAAGGTCAGTGGACATTGAGCACCTAGTTCTCTTAGCCCACTTTGAAAATCCCAGTCTTAAAGATTACGGATCCTATGTACATTTTAGAAGTTGAGTCATGACTTGCCCTTATCTGTTTCCAGCTTCACCATTTAAGTTGCGGCATCAGTCCTATGAGTCTTTACGAAATTTGACTGTACAGTAACATTTACTATCATGGGATTTACATTTTACCTAAATATGTGCCTTGTAATTTCAGTTATAATTATATACTAGAGTGGAACAATAAGGCTTGGTCTACACTAAACCCCCAAATCGAACTAAGGTACGCAACTTCAGCTACGTGAATTAAGTAGCTGAAGTTCGAAGTACCTTAGTTCGAACTTACCTCGGTCCACATGCGGCAGGCAGGCTCCCCCGTCGACTCCGCGGTACTCCTCTCGCCGAGCTGGAGTACCGCAGTCGACGGCGAGCACTTCCGGGTTCGACTTATCGCGTCCAGACAAGACACGGTAAGTCGAACCCAGAAGTTTGATTGCCAGCCGCCGAACTAGCGGCTGGGTATAGACGTACCCTAAGAGTAGTGATTTTGAAAACTGTAAATAAATCTGCTCAAAGTTCTACAATTGTAGACGTCAAATTAAAGAAAATAAGTGTTCAGGTAGGATTAAAAAATTGCTTAAAATGAGAAGAAACCCACATTACCTTTACATTGTACGAGACACGTAATACTGTGACAAGACAGTAATGTGCAGAGTACTTAGTGTATTTTATCTGGTTAATATCCTTTTCACAACATTTAATTTGTGAAACGTTTTCAACTCTAGGGGCCCGATTCTCCACTACCTTGAACATTGTGCAATTATTTATACTCATGCAATGAGTGGAAAGTGGGGTGTAAAACCTTTTAAAATTGGAATGGCAGCATTTTGCACTTGCACAAGTACAGATGATAGCCAACATAAGGTGCAAGGCATTGGAGAGTCACAACCCAGCTGTCTGTATCATTGAAATTGGGTAATAGAAAATGTCGAGGAAAAGAATATTTTGATGTTCTTTCCTTATACCATTATAAATGGTGCATTTAAATCCTCCTCTGCCCTTATTCGAGTCGTGACTCTTTTTCTTTCTTGGGGGGGTGCGGGGAACCTTTTAGACAAGTGTTTTTGGTACATATCTTATTACCTTAGATGGAAAAGAATTTTCCATTTTATTACTGCAGCTCAGAGTAACAGAAGAGTTTTCAGATTTTAAAACTTTAATATTTTGGTGAGCTAGGCACAGAAAGGAAAAGCAAAATGTTTCAGGCATACTCCATTCATATTCTAGAAGAGACTTACCCAGTTAGATTTGGTACAGAGAGTTACTTTTTTGAATTGAAGTTCTGTCCACTTGATACAGAAAATACTGATCTGGAGGGTGGGGAATGACATTTTTTTGAAATATTTGTAAAGGCAAACAGAAGTGCTCTAGGGGATCCTGTCACGACGCGGTCACACACACACAGCCATAGTTATACTGGAAAAGATTCAGTTGTAATGGTGACTATTTTTAAAGTCTAATATTATAATTAAGTGCCTTGAATTTTACAGTAAATAAGGATTTGAAATTAATTTTTAAATCATCTTTTTAATAAGTGGCTTGAAAAGAGAATCTTGGTTTGAGGTCCTAATCAAACTGACCAAAGAGGTCAACAGATTCCAATAGTGCATCTTAAAAGATCAGCCTATTGTAAAATAGGCAAATGAATTAAAAATTGCCTCTAATTTTTTATCATGGGAGACGGGAGAGATTCCAGAAGACTGGAAAAGGGCAAATATAGTGCCCATCTATAAAAAGGGAAATAAAAACAACCCAGGAAACTACAGACCAGTTATTTTAACTTCTGTGCCAGGGAAGATAATGGAGCAAGTAATTAAGGAAATCATCTGC